TCATAAAATTCCAATACATTGTGATCTAATTTGTTTTTATTACTATGTTTTTTTATCTTCTCTACAATGATTATATTATCATTATTTATGTTACAATGATTAATATAATCCTATTGTTTTTAGTGTTATTAGTATATTATTCCTCTATAACTTCTTTTTTTTTTTTTTTTTTATGAAAAAAGATGGTAAAAATTGACCCTGAGTTTTCCAATGTTAATGTATATAAACATAAAGACGAGTTAACGGTTGAGGTAGGAATGATTAATAAAGATGCACGGACACGCATGTCACCGGATACAAGGCCCACACAAACGATCGACTCGATGTTGTTCTTTACTCTCTATAGCTTCCAGTTGAATACGCGAATTACAAAAGTGAAGAGAACAAAATAATTATATTCGATATTTCCCCATTATTTTGGACTATTATAGACAAAAAAGACAAATTTTTCTTTGATACAAAGAAAATTTATTTGTTTTAAACAAATTATCTTTGATTCAAAAAAAAAATTATCCTATTTCAAAAAAAATTTTTATTTAATTCAAATAAATGTTTCATTTGATCTTATATCAATATTAGAATTTCTTTAATTTAATGCACAAATTTCTTTAATTTAAAGAAAATTTCTTTGATTCAAAGAAATTTTGAAATTAAGAAGCTTTTTTTTTTGTTTCAAAGAAATTTTTATTTTAAATTCAAGAAAACAAGTCAAATTGGTTTCTTTAAATCAAAGAAATCTTTTCTCTTGGTGCATTATAGCAGGAAAGTATAAAAAAAAATAGAAAAATATATCAAAAATTAATTAATCCCCCCCGGTCTGAGAGGTTATGAATGCTTCAAAAAGTGTATGAGAGAGAACAATAAATGAACGGGACGACGAACGAATAAATCGACACACGCGAAATACATATGTTGGATGTTTGTAGTAGAAAAAAAAGAAGAAAATGAAAAAATTGTCGAGTACGAGAAAGCGCGAAGAGAATGAGAAGGAAAAAAATGATGATGGAGTGGAAGGTGAGGTGGGAGGCGTTTTACTTGATGCGCATAGTAATCGGTCCCCGTCATGCCAATAACGACGGCAACGCACGATCTATAATATCCAATCGATAAGTCGCGCTTTTCCCAATAAGGCACAAAAGGTGGGACTAAGATAAAAAAAATTCGAGAAAATATATACATTATTCTCCATATTTTTTTTAAATCCCAATCCTTTGAAACATTATATCAATTATTTAAAAAAAAAATCAAAAAATACTCAAAAAAATAGTATTTTTAATTTTTTAAATAAATTTTTACACAGAAAAAAAGGTGGGTAAAAAGTTGTAAAGATAGAGGATAAAAGTCGTTAGGATACAGGGTAAAGGATAAATTTGTGATGGATAAAAATGTTACTAAAATATTACTAGAAAAATGGATGCCATATTTGAGTAAACTGTCTAATTTTAATAAAAATATTAGTAATTTTACACTTAACTTATTAAATCCACAAAATTTATATAAATAAGTAATTGCATGTGGAAATATTTCGCCTATAATTATTGTCTATTAATAAAACTATCTTTGACTAATACAACTGACAGCTGACGACAGTGCGTAAATAATCAAAACTGGGAAATTGAGGAGCCGGATCGTAGAACCGATTCTTCACTAATGCGCAAGTCCCCCGCGCAGCTGAAAGCTGGCTCACTTGAGGGACTCCGGAGAGAGCGAAGAATCGGTTCTACGATCCGGCTCCTCAATTACAACTCAACGTCTGTATTGTTGCACGAAAGCAGAGTTGGGTAGTAACTGAATTTTTTGTGCATATTCGGCTGTGTCAGTTCATCGAGATATTTCGAGTTCAAGATATGACGTCAGAGGCCTGGAGAGACAACAAACAGACGACACAATATTATTCTTACGGGGAAGAAAATTTGTTTGCACTTTCATCAATTTTATTCATACTTTAAACACGGAAAACGCTTGTTGATATATAATAAAATTAAAATGTGTGTTGATAATTAATTTTGTTATATATTTAATTCATTTGCATTGATAGATTCTCTGATTTCGTGATAAAATATAAATTTTGAGGTTAGGGGTGTTTGTTTACTAACTTAAAATATTTTACTGCTGCGGAAATTCCCACTTAAAATATATATTTTATATCTTTCTTAATAACATGCATACTGGATATTGTTTGATAATGTTAAAATCTAAAATGTGATTAGTAAACAAACTTTTCTAACCTCAATATTTATATTTTATCACGAATTCAGAGAATCTATCAATGCAAATGAATCAAATATATAACAAAATTAATTATCAACACACATTTTAATTTTATTAGATGTCAACAAGCGTTTTCCGTGTTTAAAGTATGAATAAAATTGATGAAAGTGGAAACAAATTTTCTTCCCCGTAAGAATAACATTGTGTCGTCTGTTTGTTGTCCCTCCATGCCTCTGACGTCATATCTTGAACTCGAAATATCTCGATGAACTGACACAGCCTAATATGCATAAAAAATTCAGTTACTACCCAACTCTGCTTTCGTGCAACAATACAGACGTTGAGTTGTAATTTCTCAGTTCTGATTATTTACGCACTGTCGTCAGCTATCAGTTGTATTAGTCAAAGATATTTTTATTAATAGACAATAATTATAGGCAAAATATTTCCACATGCAATTACTTATTTATAAAAAAATTGTGGATTTAATAAGTTAAGTGTAAAATTACTAATATTTTTATTAAAATTAGACAGTTTACTCAAATATGACATTCATTTTTCGAGTAATATTTTAGTAACATTTTTATCCATCATAAATTTATTCTTTACCCTGTAACGACTTTTATCCTCTATCTTTACAACTTTTTACCCACCTTTTTTTCTGCGTAGATTATTATTATTATTTTATTATTTTATTTTTATTATTATTTTTATTTAATTAAATTTCACTGCAAACTTGAAAATAGTTTTTCAGGTCAATTCTAATTCTAAAAGAAAAACACTTATGGAAGACTAATTATAAATAAAATATTTTTTATTATTAATAATAATAATTTTTCATGGGAAAAATTACAATTGAATACAATGATAATTTTTTTTAATAACATTTCATGTCTTATGATATAGCGCGGGTGATGTACGAAACGGAAAACATGATTAGGATCAAGTTTCAACGTGGGAAAAGAAAGTGTGCAGAAAAGTATATATATATATATTAATTAAGAGGCGAAATTATGAAATATTTATACACATGATTTTATTGATATCAAAATGTAACTAGACGCGGATATATTGTACACCTCTTTCGTTGAGAGGTTAATAATTTACGCGCGCGCTTATAATGACGGTAATTCAGAGACTTGATTACCAGTAATTGCCAAATTACAAGCAACTACGGTAAATTTAACGGGACCAAGCCACATTTCTCAAATAATTATCCTTTACACTTGTTTTCATGTTAAACAATCAAATAATAGTCTTATTTTTTTTATATATATTTGTCTTTCAAGTTGACAAAAATTATGCCCTTTTTATTAAAATTTGAGGTTATGAAAGCGTTAGAAAATTTAGAATTAAATTTTTCTGATTGATGAAAAAAATAAATATTTCTGTAAATTTTATTTTGATTTATATTTAATTAGTAAAAAGAAATTTTTCGAGTGATTGAAAAGTGAAATCCAAAGATTTTATAATTTCCTTGACTTGTGCGGTCGACGATTGTCGATAATAATAATAATTCAAGGTACAGTCAACCGGTAGCAACGATAACGATAACGATAACGAGGTGTCGACAGGACCTACATTCAACAAACTCGATAAGAAAAGATCGACGAGAATTTAATTCTAGTTTCCTAAACGGATTTTAAATTCGTATAATGCAGAAAAAGATTCAGTCAGTTTTCGGAATTTTATTTCTGAGCTGATTCGAATTTAAATTTTTTATGTAACAATAAATTTTTGACAATGGAAAAAAAATTGAAGAGAACTGAACAACTTCAGGGATGAATAACTTGTAAAAACTGATGGGAATCAATAAGAAACGTTTTACAAAATTTTAAGGCGCATTCTTAGTTACCCAACCCTGTGTGCTCTATTAATTTCCCATTTGTGCTACTTTGCCACAAAATTTTCTAATTTATATTATTAATTCTCCAAATATTGCCAATTACAATTCTATTCTCTCTTTGCATATTTCCTTATTAAAAATTGTTTCCAGATTTAGATGTAAAAAAGTACGTATATACTTTAATTAACATTTTTAGGTTATGAGATTATTTCTCACTTCCTTTATCCAATGGGCGCTATAGACGAAAAAAACAGTGATGTCGCGCGAAAGTTGGAGCATCGTGGTAGGAGAAATTTCTTCTTTTACTATAAATGGATGACAATAATTCACGCGGTAGCAATTTAATTATTAAGTGTGTAACCATTTTTATGTTGACTTTCATATTTCCCTCAGGGGCCTAGATTTTAATCATCGGCACTTAAAAAAGTGTTGATGAAAAATTAAAACCTGTTTTTTTTAATCCAATTAACGTCAATAATGTATATAACAGTGAAAAGAATCAGGAAAAAGCTTGCCTTTTGATTGGCTGATAACAGTAAGGCTAGAATTGTCGTCAGACAATTAAAAAGTAATTGTTTACATTCAGAAAAAGGTTTTTTTTTTTTTGATTCAAAGAAATCAATTTTTCGATTTAAAGGAATAAATTTTTTTGATTCAAAGAAATCAATTTCTTTGACAAATTTTTCTTTGATACAAAGAAAATTTATTTGTTTTAATACCCAAATTATCATTTATTCAAAAAAAAAAATTATCTTCGTTTCAAAGAAATTTTTTATTTAATTCAAATAAATATTTCATTTGATCTTATATCAATATTAGAATTTCTTTGATTTAATGCACAAATTTCTTTCATTCAAAGAAATTTTTTTTTCGTTTTAAAGAAAATTTTATTTTGAAAGAAAGAAAACTATAAAGGTCATTTAACAAATTTTTTTTCACTTACCAAGCATTTTGCTGAGATCGGCATTGTGAAGATCGGGATTCTCGTCGGCCAATTTTTTGCGCTCGACCTTTGCCCAGACCATGAAAGCATTCATTGGTCGTCGTATACGTTGTTCTTTCAAACTCCTTTGAGCGGAACTGCCAGGATGGCACATTTTGACACCAGCTGGAATTGATGAAATTCCTTGCTGATAGTCCAGTGACGTGCCGGACGCTAACCACGACATATCGTCCAATCGCTGTTGTCCTGGACCGCTCAGCATGCCTGGAATCTAATCCAAAAAAATTATACGAGTTAATATTAAAAAAATTGATTTTAATTGGTCCATTTTTCGAAATTGTCCAATCAGAATCAAGGCTACATGAGAAATGTTGTGATTTCACCCTTAGGTTACTATTATATATAGAGAGGAGGACTACCGCACCCTGCTGTAGTGAAAATTTAGTAACTTTTAATTTTAACAATAAAGTCACTAGATTTTCACTAGAGCAGGGTGCGGTAGTTGACGAGAATTATGACAAATGTCAAGTGACAATGAAAACCAACCAATTTTATTTAAGGATGGAAACTCCGAAATGTGACACGACACTTTTTCTATTATACTCCCCCTCTATATAGTAGTAAACTAAGGGTGAAATCACACAGAGGCATAGAGTACAATTTCCCCTGTAGCCTCGATACTGATTGGACAATTTCTAAATATAGGCCGATAATTAAATCCAAGTTTCAGAAAAAAATTTTTATTGCAATCGAGTTTAAAACAATAATTCGAATAATTGTCATAATTATATAAAAATAACTTGGAAAATTTGAAATTAGGTTAGATTGTATAAAAATAATCGTTTTTTTTTGGGGTTATCATACTTCTTGGAAACTTGTTTAGAATCAGAGGAAAGAGGATCAAAAGGGGCGAATGAGGCGAGAGAAGATGTGAGCGTGGAAGCAACGTGCTTGATCCTTTCAACTCGAATTATCTCTCTGGGACCTCTATTTTATATATATCCTGCAATTGAAGTTGCGATGTTGCATTCCTTGTCGTACTTGTTTTGCAATTCAAGTTGAATTGCACTTACCGGTATAATCTGAGTGTCGATCGGCATTGATCCTTCGCTACCATCGATATTAGAATCGATGTCAAATGAACGGGACGTTGGTGTTGCATATAGAGAGGAATGAAGTGCCAAAAGTCCTGGTGTACTTCCGTAACTACTGACCGGTGGTGGTGTTACTTCTCCCCGTTCATAATTATCCAACATTCTGGAAATAAAAAATTTTTTTTTCTTTATTTCCAGTTAGAAAAAAATTATTGTACAATTCCAATTACATATACTTCCAACAAAAAGCACTAGGGTAACAATTAAATTGTAATACAACCAATTGCATAAATGCTGTACTTCCGGTTTGACGATATTTTGAAAAATCGTGGCATTTCTATAATAATTTTGTTAGTTCGTGTCCACTTTGTGGCGTTTGCTTGTGGTATATACCAATAGTGACATTATAACAATTAATTGAAAATAACAAACGAAGAAAAACAAAGAAATTAAATTAATATAAGACGAAAATTAAAAATAATAAAAGCAAATAAATTTTTTTTTATTAAAAGACCGGAGCGGTATGAGCATATGGGGGGCAACCCTGTGGGCAAAAAATCATGTTCGTTCTAAAAACGTTTTAAGAACGTTTTTAGAACGTTTCATGTCCACCAAATAATGTTCTGGAACATTATTTGATCATCCATGTTCTTAAAATGTTCCAGAACATTATTTGTCGGACATACAACACTTGAAAATTTTTAATTATTTTTATGGTTCAAATAATTATCAATAATTTATTTATTATAAATGAACAAAATTTAAGCATTGCACGCTTGATAAATATTTCTAATGCGTTGTCAATTAATGCAATTAATAATTTCCTATTACACAATATCATAATCGACATATATGACATTTGTAAACAAACAGGGTTGAGAAACAAGAGCCCAAAATATTTTCATCCAAAGCAGAGTTGGGTAGGATTCTGTTTCACGTTTAAGGTTAACGCACATGTAACTTTGAAATAGGGAAAAACTGAATAATTATTTTTTAATAGTTTTGTTAAAAATAATTTGAACTGTAAAAATAATGAAAAAAATTCAAATGTTGCGATCTTTTTTCAGACAAATGAAAATTCTATTAATTAGAAATTCTGATAAGAGTGTCGAACGTTGTCTTGATCAAAAACATGAAAAACTATAGTCTGTTTCACGTTCACCTCTTAATTGCAATGTTTTAACTAATGAAATTTAATGTTTAATGTTAAAATTAAATGTTTAATGTTAATTTAAATTTAATGTTTCAATCAATGAAACTAAACTATACTTTTATAAACAGGTTGAGAACCTTTTCGTGATAACTGAGCGCTCATAGCGAGAATTTGGAAAATGCATACAATTTCGGAAAATTATTGTTTGACATAATTTCAATCCTACCCAACTCTGCTTTGGACGAAAATATTTTGGGCTCTTGTTTCCCAACCCTGTTTGTTTACAAATGTCATATTTGTCGATTATGATATTGTGTAATAGGAAATTATTAATTGCATTAATTGACAACGCATTAGAAATATTTATCAAGCGTGCATTACTTAAATTTTGTTCATTTATAATAAATAAATGATTGATAATTATTTGAACCATAAAAATAATTAAAAATTTTCAAGTGTTGTGATTGTGAATTATACTTTCATACCAATTCAGGTATCAAAAAATAATCCCATATTCTGGATTATTTCTTGAAAATGATCCAAATATTTGGATCAATTAGATACCTTATATCGAATTAAAACCTTGCATTCCAAAATGATACCATCAAGTTTACAGTGATTCTAATTCTTTTAGGGTCTAAAATTTTTCGTTTCAAAAAAAACTCCTCCAAATGTTGTTTTTCCACGAATACATAACATTAAAGACTAAACAAATCGTAAATATACTAAAAAAGTTTAAAATCTAAACCAATTAGAAACAATGGAAATAATTCTAACGGCTTCGTTAATTCCTAATTGACTATAATGATCCCGTGAACTTTGGTAGGGAACAATAGTAAATCGGAAGAAGTTGTTATTGTTTTGGAGAAAGAGAGAATGAACGGTATATAGAGAGGATATAAGCGTGAAGAGTCCAGAAATGGTCTGTGCCACGAGGCCGCGATTGATCTGTCAACCCCGTTAGGGAAAAAGAGTTGATCGACATGAATGAACCATTCAAGGCCACCTAATGGAATTCCCACGATTGTCCTTAAGGCATAATGCGACCGTATAGTGGGTATAATAGTACGAACAGCTGTCTGGCTGACGTCCATGTGCGAGCACATCCACTCGGACACACATTTATAAATATATATATATATATAAACACAAACGTACGATATCTTGAATAACGCCTGTAAACAAACGAATGGCACCCGACATGTGTGGGTGCATGATACGACGCGCGAGACATGTACGTGTGGAGAGACGCCAGTGTTCCATATAATGGCCATTGTTTCATTCTTCTCGCGACGCGAGAGAGATGCTGATGGGGGCAAAAAGCATTCCGGCATTTTCATTCAATAAAAAGTCAAAGTCTAGTCTTGATGTGCAAACGCCAATTCACATTTTCTTCCGACGTGTGACATAATTTTTCGTCTATCTTTTCTTTGAAAAAAAAAGTTTCTTTCATTTTCTAACCTCTTTAACCTTTTACACGCGCTCATTAAGTCTAGATCTAAAGTTGAATTATCATTATTAAAAGTTGATTCAGTTTCAAGGAAATTAGATTTTACATTTATCATTTAAATACAATTTTTTTATTGTAATGAATTTTACTTTTCGAAAATTAATCTACGCAGTTTAATTTTACGTTTAGTTGAGAAATAAAGAGGACAGTTGTAAAGAAAAATGTTTTTTATTGATTCGTATGTTTCCGGAAATATTACGAGCCAATCAGAAACGTTAACGAACCTTTAAGGCCAATGTACAATATTTCGCGAATGAGATGCACGGAAAAAAGAAGGACACAAACATATCTCTGTCCTTTCCTAACTCGTGCAGGTACAGAGAAACCTCCCATATGTGACACACCACTGACTAAGGCCTCTGTCACATGAAGCAGATTAGCAGAATAGATTTTAACAAATCAAAATTTATTCCATTGCAAAGTGCCATAATTAGATTATTAATGTAAAATAAATAATTTACGTATATAGACATCAGTAGAAAGTATATGAACTCAATGAAAAAGAAAATTGAAATCATGGATTTTTAGGTTATGTCATAAATTACAAATCGTAACAGAATGTAAATTACAAAAGATAATATATATATATATATAATTTAGCAGGAATGGATTATGTATATAATTTCAATCAAAGTTCATAATAAAATTGACACTGTCATTGAATTAGGGTCAGTAAAAGAGAGCAAACCACAAAAGCGAACTTTTCCAGGAACAAAATGACGACAATGCCGTAAAATATGAAACAAGGAATAATAACTCGGGATTAGCGACGCGTCAGTGGGTCATGGCTAATGAATCGGTGACAATAATATCGACACGCAACCATACCGCAAATATATCTTTTATAAAAATTTTATTTCATCTCAATAAATTTAATAATTTACACTATAGTTTTAATATAGATAAAAATAATCAAAAAATTCAATACATTTCTATATAAGATTGCATAAAAAGTTTGAGATTGAAAAGGATAAAAAAAAATTTCTCTCTTCTTTTCTCTATGCTTCTCTACAATGAACTTTTCAATAAAACGTTCGAAATGTGACACTTAAGCAAACTATTAGATTTCAAAGGTTTTATTAAAAGTTAGGTCTTTCTACAATAGCACATCAACAGTGAAACGTCCGAAATGTGAAAAATTGTTTTCTACATTATAAAAAATTAATTCTTATTAGCATGAATTATTTGAATAAAAAAAAAAATTACAAAATTATTATTAATATTATTAGTGGTAAAGTGGGATAATTTTACACTAATATTTATTTTTATATTAATATTTGAGAATCAGTGGCAAATTTTCCAAATAATCCTTGGGTAAGATTTATTCATTCCCACGCCTTCGTTTATGTAAAAGATAAAAAAAAAACCCAATAATCTCAAGGCTAGTTAACATCAGGCCTCGAAGATACTATTGCGGTGAATTTATAACTTTTCTGACCATGAAAATCCGCTGCTTCTCAATGACAAAAAGAACAAAAATTAGAAAAAATTTTTTTCCTCTATAAAAAAAAATTTTCCCTAATTTTTTTTTTTACTTAATATATTGTTTTATTTTTGGAAACAAAATTTTATGACATTTGTGAAAAAAAAAAAAATTATATTCCCTGACACGCATTTGCTTGCAAACGAGCTGGTAAGTTTTGTTGAAAATGAAACTCTGTTTCCACGCAAAAGCCATAAACTTCGAAGCAATAAATTGTATTGAGCCGCGTATGTTTTCTAAGTGCGGAGTCTGCGAGAAGAAAGCGACGTGCCTGTATATATGTATATATATACACATATGTCGAGACGTATTTTATTCAAATAATCAGGTATCGAACACACCCTGGCACGTTATTAGCCAAGTGTAGGTTGAGAGTGGCAGCTTGCGCTAGAGAGCCCGGGGAACTGTAATTTTATAGTCCCCTGATTAAACTTTTAAATCGGAATGACCAACGCGCGGCTCAGTTGGTAAGCGGAAATGACGACCTCAGCCAGTCACCTTTGCACTACTAGCAACGCTCCGTCGCTCTCGAGATTTGAGAACACGAGGAAAGCGCATCCCTCCCCCTCCCCTCCTCTTCCTCCTCGTGGGCCGAAAAAAAACACCTTTCTATGGTTTACGCCAGCGGAACGGTTCCTTTCCCCCACCATCATCAACCATCGCCACCTGACCCCAACCAAATCCATTACGTTCGACTTCCGCTTTCACCCGGGGCATCCCAAAAGTCACGGGATTTACTCCCAAGATAAAGATATATAGAACTCATTTTCAACTCTTCAGAATCATGAATATTTCATTTCCCGCTATTTATATTTTGTCAGTCAATTGCTTTTTTCCACTCTGTGATACGTTGGGAAAAAATAAAGAAAAAAAAAAAGATAAAGAAAAAAATTTATATATAACGAAAAAAATTAGTTTCATTAAAATTAAAATTAATTTCATTAAAATTTATTTATTTAAAATTAAAATTAATTTCATCAAAATTAATTCCATTAAAATTAAAATTAATTTCATTAA